TGATGACACCCCTTTTCATATTAGAAGACATTTCTTTCTTAGTTGATACATTTTTAACAAATCTATCAATCCATACTTTTAATTCTTTCCAATTTTTTTTAAAGAAATCTATAGCAAATCCATCAATCCCTGGGCTTTTATTATTCTTGATCTTGTAAACAGCATTGCTAATTTCCTCCATACTGATTTCTCTTTCAAGATTGTCTCTAGTGTTTTGTTAAGAGTTGGAGTTTTAATATCATTCAAGCAGTCTTCCTCCTTATACTGTTCCTGAGCAGCATAGAGATTTTTATAAAATAACTTTACTTCATTAAGTATTGATTTACTGTCTGTAATTTCTTTGTTATCATTAGTTAACAATTTATTGATTGATTTTTTGGAGAATTTTCTATTTTCCAAATGGCAGAAATATTTTGAAGGTTTGTCTCCTTCTTTGTACCAAAGAATTCAGTTTCAGATTTGTATTCCTTTCATTTCCTCATATATTTTTTTCCATTTCTTTCTTATACTTTGATAATTCACTAACAAGTTCTTCATCTATGTTTTGGAAGTTCCTTCTAATATTGTCCTCAACCTGTTTTAGTTTTAGTTTTAGTTCTTCTGTATTTTTTGTTTTATGTAGGATGAGAAAGATATCGTTTTTCATTAATAGTAATTTTCATAAATTGTAAGATCAATAATGATCAATGTTTTTAAAGTCATGATTTTTTTTTCAGTTGAATATTCTTGAATAGTATCACTTAAGACAGTTCTGACTAAATTATCATACTCAGGGTTTAACAGTAAGGAATTATTAAACTTCCTATAGCCCCTTCCTCTTTCCTGGTTTAAAGTGTTTGAAAAGGTTAATGTTATTGTGGAGTGATCACTTCTATAGCCTGGCAGAATATCTGAATCCAAAGTAATATCAAAAATGTCTCCTGATACAATAAAGAAATCATGTCTGGCTTGTTCTCTTTGATTTTTTTTCCCAAGGTGTATTTTCTAGATTTATTATTCAACTTTCTCCAAACGTCAATAAGATTATAAGTTTCTATAGATTCTAATACAGTATTTCTCGATTTTGGGTTGTTTACATGCTATAATTCTCAAGATCAATTGTGGGGTCAAGCACTAGGTTTAGATATTGCTGTATCATTGCAAAGTGAATGGTGGTATAAGTGCTCAAACAATGTCTGTGAGAAATCATGAAATACAAGTGTTACTATAGTGATCTGAAGGGAACCATTTTTTCTTAATAAATGAAACGAATGTATAAACAGAAAGAAATAATTGCTAAAACAAAACAGCAAGCCAACCATGCTGTTTATCTTCGATATCCAGTGAAATAAGAATAAGCCCCAAATGTGCAATCATGACAGAGTCATATTCAAAGTAAAAATACAGCTCAAAAATTGGCGCCACTTCCAAAGATCCTTTTGAGGTACTCTCTTAGAGCTTTTGAGCAGACAGTTGTTGACTAAGCTGGACCATTACAGACAAAAAAGCTATTTGTACCTCTTCACTTGCTTAGCAGCAAGAGCAGTACATTTGGAGATGTCGTATGCTTTGGACAGTGACTCCTTTCTTAATGCCTTCTTCAGGATGGCTAAAGTCTGTTTGCAGTGAAAACGTACCAATGAATTTCACTTTAAACAAAAAAGCAAATCAAATTAAGTGAAATTAAGATTGCGAATCCTCATAATTTTACCTTGCCAATTGAACATTCAAATCTCAGAATTTTATTCAACTTAGGATAAAAGTTGTTTCACAAACAATCATATACTCAGCAGCAAAAAACACATCAGTACGAAAACAAAAATAGATAGGCACTGTAATCAAATCATTACAGAAATTTACATAATAAGTGGCTCCAAACATTTTTTTGTGTACAGTATCTTCGCTATTATTGGTTTGTATCACAAGGGGGCAAGAGCAGTAGATGGAACAAGTGAAACAAATGCATGTAGCGTTAACTTAAACCAACACTACTTGTTCTCGGTGTTTCATTTAAAGTGCATACCCCCTTTGTAATACACACCAATAATAGCGATTTGCAACTATACTAAGCAGCAAAAGAAACGTCACTTTGGAATTTTCCTTCGCATAAACGTAAAAACTGAAAACTCATTCAATGTTTTGATTGTATATTTTTGACAACATCTCCAACTTTACCTGAGCAAAGACATTCCTTCCAATTGAACCCAGGAAATGGTCTCAAAAACGCAACCAGATCTTGGAGATTGTACGGTGTTCTCCATGTTTTTTATGCAACTCATGCTGCATGTGCTGTTCACAAGGACCAGCTCTATAAAACCTGCACCCCCAAACCTGGTTGAAACATTCACATTACGTCAGTAGGATGACGCGACTCACGACAGCTTAGAGGAACCAGGAGCTAGGAAGATTTGAAGCTGGCCACACTGCACAAGCTGTTACCAATCACTTCCAGGTCAACGTTCAGACCATCTACAGGCTGCAGCAACGCTTCCGGGCCATCAACACCACAAATGATTGCCCCCGTACTGGCAGACCAAGGGTTACCACAAGACGACAAGATCGCCATGTTGTGCGACAGCATGTACAGAATCCCTTCATTGCAGGCATCCGAAACAGCACGCCAGACAGTGGGAACACACGGAAGACCAATCAGTACTGAAACAGTACGCCGATGTCTTAACAGCGGGAACCTCCATTGCCGAAAGCCTTACCGTGGACCTATCCTCACCCATGGTCATCAGCGTGAACATCTACAGTTTGCTCGACAATACCAAAACTGGCGATACAGGCAATGGAGAACTGTTCTGTTCGCAGATGAGAGTCGGTGCTGCGTATCAACTGCAGAATGCAGAACAAGAATATGGTGATGACGTGGCCAGCGTTACTCAGACCAGTGTGTTATGGAAAGAGACTCATGGGGAGGTACAAGCATCATGGTATGGGGTGGAATAGGCCTGAACCAGATTAGGGTCCTGTGGTGTTCCAGAACCTTGGTCCAGGGAGAGGAGGCAGCATCACAGCGGTGCGCTACATCGACCAAGCTCTCAGACCCCATGTCATACCACATTTCGCATGTCACCGGAACAACATTTTCCAGCATGATAACGCCAAGGCCCATATTCAGGCCCTCCTATCTATTTGACTAAAAAGAAGCATTATTGGATTCAATGTAAACTATATCGTGTGTTTAGCTACCACATGCGAAGGAATAGCATTAAATGTGTTGTGAATGCACCAACTATCGCTGTAAAAGCGGTTGGCATCGGAAGCACTATACAGCCGCTATTGGAACCTAAAGCATCGGCAGCCGAAAACTTTCAGTGATCTCCGATAAATTCCGCATTTCGCCGAACTACGCCAACACTTCCTGTCGTCACAGTGCGCGAAAAAATGGCTGCTGACAGAGGAAAAGGGTAAGTGTTTCAATCAACACTTAGCTCCAGAGAATGTAATTCTGATTAAGAAGGTAGTGTGCATTGAATGCACGTTATCACCCCACTTTGATAGCAATACTTCATCTTCGTAAAAAATGTATTTTGTGTCTATTATCTGCCTTTTTGTATGGAAGTCGATCAAAAATTTCCAGCTGAGGTCGGCGGAATGAGGCTGCTAACCTCCTTCGCTTTGAGTGAATTCTTACATGGCTTTAGAAAATTTATCGTGAGGGGATTGATTCAGTGAGGAACAAAGTGAGACTCAGAGTGAATATGGTATTCAGGGTTAGGCGGGGTTATTACTGAATGGTATTCAGGATTTTGTGTAAGGGGAGCTCGCACGCTCGATGAAGACTTGAGCAATATTTTCATTGACCGGCTACGTCGGAGAGACCGCAGTTGTATTTTGCCCCATATTTGTAACGAATTCATTTTATAACTGGAAGTGAGTGCGGACAGTATGCATTTTATTCGTGTCTAATTGTGATTGAACCTATATTACTTTATTTAACAGATACCCTTACCAGTCCATCATGTGTTTGTTTTGGCAAATACACTGTCGCTGGGATCTGGTGGACGGATGGGCGAGATGTCTGACAGTTGTGACCTCCGTACTACTTTTCCCGAAACTCCGTCGACAGAGATTATACATGGAGTTTTCCAAATACCAAAGTCTTCCTATGTGCCTGAGTCACCAGCTGCGATTCTCACACAAAGAGGTAGATTATTGCCCTTCAGTTTCAGTTCTCTGGTTTTTCCGGTTAAATTAGATTGTAAAGATATGTGACCAACATAACACACACCCCTTTTCATTCCATGTTTAAAGTAAAACTCATAATAATTAGTTTTGATTAATATATTTGGAATTTATTTCATAATGTTATTCTCTTGGTTTGACACTTACAGATCACAGTGTTCAAGACTTGAGCAACAAGATGACACAAGTTTCCTGGATGTGTCTCACTTAGATGAGACACAGATCAACGCTTCCTGCATAGATGAGACATTGTTTGATGTATCAGAGACTGAGCCCAAACCTGCAAATAAACCATCTTCACAGTGTGGGACTTGAGGGAAGATTGTCAAGACCAAAGGCTCCTTGAACCTCCAACCTGCATGTGAGGCGTCACACTAAAGATTTTTTCAAATGTGAGAAGTGGTTCGCTTCCAAGGGACAACTAAAATTCCACGGTCTGCTCCACGATGAGCATGCACCCAAATGCAGGTTGTGGTGAACTCATAACAATCTGTCATGACATTTTCTCATTGGCATGATGAATGGCCATGGCCAGTTGTCAGATTCCCAAATACGTAAATTTGGAAACCCAAATTATATTTGCCAGTATTAACCATACCAGCTTTGCTTATTTGAAGTTCATTTGTTTACATTCCGTAATAGAATTTCCTCAGTTTTCTTTTTCTGGTGTTAGAGATTGTAAATTCTTGTTGATGTTGGAAAATACTTGTGCATGCTTGTAATGTTTGTTTATGTGACCTTGTGTTTTGAAAGTAGTAGGAAGGATGCTTGGCTAACCAGGTTAGCTATGTGATAATGGCAAAGATAACTAACAAATAACTGCAATGATCTGTATTTCAATTTTGTTTTTATCAACCATATTAACTTGTAATAAAGATATATTTACAGCCATATATGAAGTTCAAGTGTTTTATTCATTAACAAATCCGAATATGACTTTCTTTGTCTAATGATTATCACACTACATCACATCATCCAAAGCAGCTCCAACTTTACAATTCTCATATTTACACATTATGAAAGTGCATATGTAAAATCATAACTGATTCAGCACTTGGACATATGTTCATCGCAGTGGGCAACAGAAAGTCCAGCTTTTATTAGTCGATTTATCTTGCTTTCCTGTGGTAGCTCCAGGTTCATGGAGACTTGACATACCCTGCACCGGTTTCCTCGCATGATGTAGTCTACTGGGGGCATCAAGTGGTCCTGAAATAGGAATGAAGAACATTTATTGGAATGCAATGAATGTATGTAGGGGGCACAATGGTGACGGAAAAGGACCAACATTATTATACTTGACAACCTCACACCAAGACCTCTGCAAGACAGCAATCAGTTGAAAATTCAGATGATCAAATAGTTAAACCTGTGGAATCACACTGTAAACCATGGTGCACTGATGAGTTAGTCATCTGAACAATAAGCTACCACACTGCTAGATTCTACATATTTAATGATACTATTAATATTAACAAATAATGGTAAACAAAACTATCAGCCAGTGTTTGTTAGAAAATCCCATTAGTTAAACATATATAACTATTAAATGTCAAAGAAGACCATCCTTCCTTGTATGGTGTGGGATTTACCTGGTTGAATCTTGTCTTACAATGCTCTCCCCACAAATTTTGGATGTATTGACCTCAAGCTCCACACAGCTGGGGACTCCATTCCTGGCACCTGGCATAGTTGCAAGACAAGACAGTTTTTTCGCATGGCTGACTAATTAGAGCCCCTTGTTGTTGTAGGTCTGACACTTGCAAATGGCATACATGAACATGTCAGCATCAGGTTGACAAGTCAGCCAGAGACAGAAGGAATTTCTTGAACCTGTAAAACTAAGAAATATAGCAATTCATGAAGTTAAGAGAGTTAAGGTTTTATCAGCCGTAGCTTTCATTATGGATGTTGGTCATATCACAATGATCTGTGATATCAAACCCACCTATATTTCATCCTACATCTGTCAATAGCTGATATCCCTGGGTCATCACATGCCTGGAGAACACTTACGAACCAGAAATGTGTTTAATATCTGTATACCAAGAGTCCAACAGCATGATTAGTATACCATAATTTCAAAAATTAACATGTGAATCAACATTTATCAAGTTGTCAGCTGAAAACAGCCGTAAACCAACATTCCCGATATTCGCCGTAATTTCACGCAACACAACTGTACCTCGAGATCTAAACAAAAACACGTTCACTACTACATATCTTCGACACAACATGCTAACACTGAAAAAATAAATTGGTGAACCAATGTGCAATTTTGAGAAATCATTCCGCCTCGATTAACTTTCAGCCTGCATCACTTCTTTCAGACACAACTGTGTAACCTAACTTGAGGCTGAGCAGTGAACTCGCTGATGAGGCCGAAGCCTACCCATTTTTTTACGGTAACTGATTAAAAACAACACGCATTCCACATCAAATGACAAATCCAGGTGCATATTCATAATGGTTGATCAATGATGTGGGTGTTATGCATTAAAGTCAAAACTTCAACCCGGAATATACAAAAGAAACGACTCACCATGTCACTTGTTTGGTTTTGTCCGCCATTTTGTCGTACAATGTTTTTCCGGAAATGGTGTTGTCACTCGACTATGATCGTTTTTTGACGGATACAGCCGAAGTCGCTGCATTCTACCAAGTTTCGCATAGCAGCTGTGCACATATCCCGCTAACGGCCGCTGTCAAATCCGATAGTACCTCTTCTTGTTCGTATATAAACTGCATTAGATTGCAATACAGACGCTATGCTACCAATACGCCATCATTATGATAACATTCAACGCTTTTTCGTCACATAGATAAGAGGGCCTGATATCGCCAGAGCTACACAGGACGGTGTCAACATTATGCTGTGGCCAGCCCTTAGTCCTGATTTAAACCCAATTGAACATCTTTGGGATGAAATTCAGAGGAGACTGAAAAATGTCATACCAATTTATTGAGCCAGGCTTTTCACAGAGTGTGGTTCCAGGTGCCAATGGCCTTCATCAATAGATTGGTGCACTCCATGCATAGACGCTGTGCTGTAGTTATTGCTGCTCGTGGTGGTCACACTAAATACTGAAGTCAAGAGTCTGAATGGACTGCAAATGTTCATGTAATGTCTTGCAATTGAGTTATTCATTGATTTGTCAAGGTATTGTACACCAAAATTTTTTGGAGCCACTTATTATGTAAATTTCTGTAATGATTTGATTACAGTGCCTATCTATTTTTCTTTTTGTACTGATGTGTTTTTTGCTGCTGAGTATATGATCTTTTGTGAAACAACTTTTATCCTAAGTTGAATAAAATTCTGAGATTTGAATGTTCAATTGGCAAGGTAAAATTATGAGGATTCACAATCTTGATTTCACTTTATTCGATTTACCTTTTCGTTTAGAGTGAAATTCATTGGTACGCTTTCACTGCAAACAGACTACAGTAGATGAGGGCTACCCAAAGAAATCCTTTCGGTTCACAGTCCAAAATTTCATTGGGGCTGCAAATGAACTGAAACAACTTGTTGCTCAACTGGTGTTAATGCAAGATTCATATAGTTCATTTATTCTGTGTACAATTTCCTCATGCAGATATTATCACATAATTTTCATATGCATCACAAATGTTTCCCTAATCTGTACTGTCTCTGTAGCACAGTGCAGCTGTAACTTCATCATACCAGTATCAGTTATTACCTCCCTTGATAGTAATCCAGCCATCTAGGGTTTCCACAGAGACTTTTGCAGATTTCATAAGTTATGTTTCATATCCCATAGTACTAGGGCTGGACGGATACTCGGGTACTCGAATCAGGATTGGGTACAGCTGGACTCGAGTCCAATTCCAAGGAATCGAGTACCCGCGGAAAGGTTGAGAACTCTGTAATGTCAAGGGCATGTAACTCAAACCAAGAACAAAATGGACGACATGCAAAGTGTGTTTGGGCTCATTTTGAACATGATGCAAATGGCAAGAGAACCAAATGCCGACTCAGTGGTACCATGTTATTTATTGTGGAAGCAGTGCAAGTTCAATGAACAAACATCTTGCTCTAAAACACAACATAAAACATAAAAGGTGTTCATTGCATTGTGTAACTCTAATTGCTTGCATTGTGTAACTCTAATTACTTATTAAGTTAGTTCATTAACAGCTGTTAAGATTACATTGAATTTTGTCAATTCAATTTCATGAACACATCTTTTACTTCTGTGTCAAGGCTGAATACATTCACTATATAGAGATTGTAATTAAATGATTGTATGTGTTGGGAATATCAATTAAAACTAATGAATTAACATATTAAAGCGAACGTTTATTGCAAGAGCACATTCTGATTTGCAAATACAATGTTCGACTGATTATCATGACAATAAGAAGAAATTGATCAGAAATATATAGAAGCACAATTCACTTAGATCACATATAATACCATTCAGTTAATATACATTTCATAGTTTAACAAATAATATCAGCATACAGTTATTCCAATGAAGATAAACAATGAACACTTAATATATACAAATTTAGAATATTTAAATAACAATAGTTTTTGTGTGTTTTTTTATTTAAACGTGAAAATATAGCATTTCTTTATTTCTTTATCCCTACATTCAAACAAAACTATTTCAATGCGACTTTTAATAATCTTCTGGAAGGATAAAAATTTAATCACTGTATTAGTTTGTATTGTATAATAGACTAACTGTAATGCAACTGAGTTGCACAACAGAGCAAAATGACCAGTCTTCCCTCATGCGAGCGAAGCATTTTGCTATGTTGCTAACTCAGTTGCATTACAGTTTGCCGGTCTGTATATCTCGTATAGAATTCTCCAGTCAGTAAATACATCAATCAAATTTTATTCTAGGTAAGTTTACAATAAATCTACATGTAAAACATTATAGGTTCAGTTAGAATATCACATCTGAAGGTAGTTGTGTACCAGTTGACAAAATAACGTGTCTTTCTCATTGACATAACACACATTTACGTCTTTGGTATTATCTTTGGTTAATGGATGTTATTATTAACGACTGTTATTTATTTGCACATGAGCAATGAGTTGTCATGTCACAGTAACAGTGCGAACGAAAAGTGCTGTGGAATGTACGTAATGGTGTTACTCTTTATATTAGTTAAACAGACGTAAATTAAATAGTCTAAGATCAGTTTCAATGTCTTATTGCCATCCTTTCAAATTTTCTATAATAATTTCTGTCAAATCGTGATTGGATATTCAGAAAGTTGACAGAGCGCTGTATTCCTTACATTTCCGGGTACTCGGTTCCGATTTGGGTAAATACATGCGGTTTCTGGTTAACTGTCTCTAAGTGTTTAGTAACACGTACAGCTCCCACCTTGCATAAGACATGCGCTGTCAGTTTAAGGTTGGACCTAGTCTGTCTCACAGTCCCTCAATCAGATTATTTTCCCTACTGCCAAGCCCTCTCTGCAGTGCTAAAGCCCTAAATAAAGCAAGTCTTGATTTCCTTTCTCATTGACGTAACACACAATTACATCTTTGGTATTGTCCGGTTAATGGATGTTATTATTAACGACTGTTATTTATTTGCACATGAGCAATGAGTTGTCATGTCACAGTAACAGTGCGAACGAAAAGTGCTGTGGAATGTACGTAATGGTGTTACTCTTTATATTAGTTAAACAGACGTAAATTAAATAGTCTAAGATCAGTTTCAATGTCTTATTGCCATCCTTTCAAATTTTCTATAATAATTCTGTCAAATCGTGATTGGATATTCAGAAAGTTGACATTAAAATATACAAAACCAATTTTTAAGCTGCAGCTACAAGACAAGAGAAGAAGAGAAAAGACAAGAACAGACAAGAGGATCGAACACAGAAGAGGATCGAATAGAGATTTCATATATGAACATGTGTGATTTTTATTTTTCAGAGGGGACTCATAGTGTTTCTTTTCAGAGTGAGAGTGAACTTTGAACTGACATTGTGCCTTTTTCAGGTTCATGTGAAATGTGAACGTTTATCGTTTGAATATTACATTATGATGATTGTTGTAGAATTATGATAGACATGGAGGCAATGGACAAAAGGTCCAAACAACCCCAAAACATTAAAACATTCATACGAACGCACCACTTGAAAACGGTGGATACCCATGCAGGAATCACATGCAGCACAAAGCCTGGATCAGTGTACCTTGTCCCTGAACTGGTCAGATTTCATTATGTTTCGAGGGAGAGCAGCCACACTGTTGGTGGCTGTCTCTAACAGTGGCAAATCAGGGCAACATTGTAAGAAGTCAAATAAGGACTGAAATGATACCACAGGTGGGTTTCGATGGTCAAATAAGGACTATGATATGTCAAATTAGGACATATTGGTGTAAATAGTGCCGTTGAAATTATTTAGTTGGTTCATGTTTCTATCAGTAAAAATACATGAACTTAGATTTTTGTTGAGTTATTTCAAAGTCTTCCGCTGCTGCTTAACACACATTGTTATATGTTTGCTGTAATGACAGCATTAGGAAAAAAAATACCAAAATTAATTATTATGTGTACATTGTACACCCTCCTGTACAGAAATATATTTCATGAAAAAATAAATGTGTGCACAAGGAAATATGGTAAGTGAGAAATTTATGATTCAGACAAGTATCTCAGATGTGGACATTTTGATATTGGATAACATGATATATTTGAAGCATCCGGGTGAGGAGTCCATTCCGTGGCCACGATCCTTTCTTTGCGGAAAGACTGTTGGCTAGGATATTCAATTTACTTGGAAGATTTGCCGCTTCCATCAACCATCTGTATAAATCTGCTTAGGCAAGTCTGGATGTATGCTAACACTGTGTTAGTGATAACTGGAGCTGCCGTTTAGGTGATATATCCAGGATTAAAGAGCATAAATATTGCCTTCATTACCTGACAATTTATATGGAGATTATTTTCACTCAAAGCCAGTTGCCCCTGAATCTGGAGGTTGTGTGCTTTCAATGCTGTGAACAGGTGATAGAGTACCTGGTGTAGCATAATAAGTGTTTACGAGAGTTAAAATTACCACCATTACATGGCCTCGATGGGTCCATCAGAGTAGATCTTGACTCAGGCATGTTTGGAAAGGACACAGGATTGCACAACTGTAGGGTGCCCCTCTAGAGAGGTCAAACGGCCGAGGAGGGACATCCACCATCTGATTGAACAGTGCCTTGTTGATCATTACTGGCATCGTGACATATTAACGAGAGGGCAGAGATATCTCATTGTCAATACAAAGATTGATCATATATACTAGCCACATAAAGAAACTGTGCATTGTCAAAATATTATCCCAGTTGATAAGTACGATAACAATGTCAAAGGTACATATAAACTTTAATGGAGGGATCATGAGACCATAACAAGTCGGGAGAATTTC